AAAAGGATACTTTTTAAGGTCACTTTGAACAAAAGTAAAGATTAAATATTATTTACATAGGAAATGCAGTGAAACATTAAGTTAATTTTTTTAAAAGCTGGTACATACATTTGAATAAGAAAATAAAATGTTTTACATATATTTAACGTACATACACATCATAAATTCGTATATTTTTATATTGCTGATAAAAGTATTTTAACAACTTCAGTTGACATGGAAAAAGACCTAAAAACACAATCATTCCCAATCTAAGACGTAGTATAATACGACAAAATTTTAGAGTAGACATGATATAAGTATTTTCCGTTGAAATGTTGTATTTTATAATCGGTTGGTTTTTTACGTCAGCCATTTTTACTCTCCCGATCAACCTGTTGACGCGAGCGTGCATATTCTATCATAATTGTTAAATTTTCCCTTGTTTCACTTTTGTTATTTTTTTACTGTTAAGTTTAAAGTTGTCTGTGATTATTATCTTGTTGAATTGACGTTTTCGTGGCTATATTAATGAGTGGTGAACCTGGACCTGATCATTGACTAGTAGGTACTTTCTGACATTAAATAAGTTTTAGAACCTCAGATTCTTTGTTTACATTTTGTCTCAGGCCAAAATGAATAGACTATAGTAGTGTCGCCTGCAGTCTGCAGCTTGAGTCCTGTGGTCTGCGGTTCAGTTCGGACTTGTACCTTAATGCTTCAGATCTTCAGACCCATCCGCGCTCGATCTCCTCTTTGTCGCATTGTGTTTTTTTATATATATATAGAGGTAGGCAAATGACTCTAGCCCACCTGATGTTAAGTGGTAATAAAGTCCAAACGCGAAGATAGCTGGTACAGCAGTTATAAACTGCTACACCAATCATCCTCACCTAGCCGGCCTGCAAAAATGCTTCTTTACGCCTCTCTTAAAGGACCCCAGATTATAGGAAGGAGGGAACACTTGCGCGGGTAAAGCATTCCACTTACGAATAGTAGGACAAAGAAAAAGAAAACAACTTAATGCACTCCTGGCTGATAAGCCTGAGTGTGATGTATGTGCAGATGGATGGAATAAAATAATGTATGACTATCTATTGTTTTGCGACAAAAATAACTGTGAATCCCCATGTTGTAATTCTTTGTTTTTCTTTTAATTGCTGTAAAAGGTATATTTAATTTTTTTAAGCATTTATCTGTTAAATGTTTAAATCTAAACAAAATTTTACTACGCGGACCAGGCAGCAGACGGGACTCGAACCCGAACCCTTAATGGCGCGGCGCTGATGGCCGTGTCGAATTTTCTCTATGGTTTCTTAGGCTGCAAGACAACGCCTTCGCATCTTTTCGCGTTCGCATACTTTTCAGTGTTTATCTAAACGTAAAAATACAAGGTTTTATAGTTAGCCCATCTTTTATAGGTATGGTACTTTGTTTAGAAATTGACAAAGTCTATCTATATATATAAAACTTAAAGGTGACTGACTGACATATTGATCTATCAACGCACAGCCCAAACCACTGGACGGATCGGGCTGAAATTTGGCGTGCAGGTAGATGTTATGACGTAGGCATCCGCTAAGAAAGGATTTTGGATCAATTCAACCCCCATCCATCCATCCATCCATCAGCCTTTCTCCGTCCACTGCTGGACATAGGCCTCCCCCATAGAACGCCACAATGCGCGGTCCTGCGCTATCCGCATCCAGCGGCTCCCAGCATATTTGACGATGTCGTCAGTCCACCTTGTTGGGGGCATCATTTAATCATTAGCACATAACTCATTCTTTAGCCAGATCTTATGAAGTCACACATTTAGCTTAAAACATTATCAGTAAAGAAAACTTAATGAATATAAAAACTTCGTCTTTCCAAAAACTCCGTAGGTAGGTAGCCAATTGCAATTTGCTTGAAAAGTCTCTGATAAGTACTAATACTTCATTCAAAGTCTCTGCTTGGTTGATATTGTAAGATTGGATTTCGCAATGTTATTATAACAGTAACTGAGTCACGACAGATTTGATTTCGCACCGTTATTGATAGCCTTCACATGAGCATCGAGGACTGACAGAGTGAAAGCCTAAAAGTGAAAACCCAATGGTAGATAGTCCAGTGGTTTACTGGTCAAGGCATGTCTGCCCAGTTTGAAGGTGCTGAGCTCAATATTCAATTGTTATGCTTTTCAGTGCGACATTGCGACATATTTCTGATCTAGTTCCATAAAGAAGTTTAGTTACAAAAAAAGTGATACAAGCAGATGAAAAATCTCAAATTTCTTAAGTACGAAATGTATGCGCTTTTATTTTGATCAATTTCTTAAAAGCGGACGCGAGCTGTAAGAAATTCGAGAAATAGGTATTTGAAAAAACTATGATGTCAAGCATTAGCAAATACCGAGCGATAGGGACAACAGCAGGTAACGCTGAAAATGGCGTATAAAAATTGCAAAATTCGAGGTTTGGCTTTCGACGATTTCCTCGTCGAAAGTAAGGTATATGTTAAAGAAATTTTGCCCAAAGAATAATTAGTGGTTATATTATATGTTTTGCTTTTTTTATGAATGCTTTGTTCGATAGCTTAGTGTCTTCTTTATATGGATTTCTCAATAAAGATCGGATATTCAGATTGTAGAATATAATTCATAGTAAAATACAGATCTTATTGAAATTATGTGCGTACGTTGTCTTTTTTGAATTCGAATTGCAAGAGGGAGAGTGAATCTATATAAATCAAAATGAGTGAATGTAGTAACGAATGGGTACGAAATGAATTTATGAACGGACGATGATGATGGACCGATTGCAGTTTCTCTCTTCGAAGGATAGATGGCGTTAACATGCTTATTAAATCTACACTAGACGTCTTTAGCGGTGATAAAAAATTTTTTTTTTGACATTTTTAGGGCTTCTAGTTTCTTTGAAACACAAGTTTTCGAAAAAGGGATGAGCATAGAATGAGTGAAATAATATTTCATGTACGAAAATCAATTCTTTAGTGATAAAACTCAAGGAGGAATAAATAAGTCGAAAACGTTTGTATGGAAAAACTATTGTCCAACTCTCCTCTTAAATATAAAATTAAAAATGTTGCTCACGAAATTACAAAAGCAGAAGTAATCAATTTTACTTGTTTCTAGATACAATAGTTAGTTAATCTCGTAAACGTGCAAATATATATTGATATCAGAAAAAAGTAATTTAAATCTAAAGAAAATATAACTAGAAAAAAAAATCCACGCGTACCAGGCAGCAGACGGGACTCGAACCCGCACCCTTCGCAATCCGGGCGAATGCACTGGATTGCGAAGGGTGCGGGTTCGAGTCCCGTCTGCTGCCTGGTACGCGTGGATTTTTTTTCTAGTTATATTTTCTTTAGATTTAAACATCAAGCAATTACATGCTTTAAAGATTATAACAATAAGTAATTTATTTATTTTATTAATACTCACTTATCATCATACAGTTGACCACAACTACAAACACTAAGAGATTTCCGACGAAAGCGAAAAGAGCCATGTCGTATAATACGGAAAATCCGATTTAATGACCGCCAAGCAAATAAAAGGAAATTAAGGAAGTAATTCTGAACTTTAATTAGTGAGCTGTGAAATGAGTTTCGAATTAAGGTTACGGGCGGTTAAAGACTTCATGAGGAAATTTCCTTTGGTTTTTTTTTCTAACTCGACATTAAAACCTTCGTGGATTTGGTTGGACTGGCTCTGAATAGTAGTGATTTGTATTATTTTCAAGCACTTCCTGAAACTATCAATACAAGGCAAGTCTATTATACGAAAATTATAAAGAACCAGACAAAAATTTGCTTCCAAATAAATTTCAGAAATAGAAGTTGTTGGTCAGTTATATAGAAATTAATATTATTTAGGAACGTCAAGACTTTTCACCAACCCAAGAATATGAATTGTGAATTAAGTATTTATTATACGTATATAAGTAAAAAATTCCGGTTTTTAGAATATACCTATCGAAAAATATGAAATTTGTAAAATGTTAATTCGGTGAAGAATACTTAATTTGTTGCAAATTGCCTTAAATGTTGTAATAATGATTGAGCTGGTCATAAGTTCTTCAGTACACCCAAAAACTTTAACAATTCTGTAACAATTTGGATTCACATAAAACCGTGTGATATCAAATTAGTAATCCACATTATAAATTGCAAATTGTTTATCTGCCCTTGCCGGGCAACTAAATTCAAAAGAACTTGATAATTATATTTTTAACATTATTCAAACCCATTTTTATCGTTTCGTACCCACAGGGTAAAAACGGATGACTGTCACTCTGTCTGTCTGAACGTATGTCATCTGTCTCTTGATCATAAACGTAATGAGTTTCATTATTGAATTTACAGTATTTGGTATTTCATGTGGAATGGTCCAAACTATTTTTTTTCTAGAACAACAATTCTACTTGGGGCGAGTAATGGTTTTCGTTATCAAAGCTCATGATTGACCGATTTTAGTGAAGCGGACACATTGAATTTCTTAAAACCTTTCTTTGGCTCAGGCAGATTTGTTCCTACACATTGTTGGTACTGTGTTTGGGAATCCTGGAACCGTATTGAATAATTTCGTTAAAGAAAAACTTTAGCTAACTAAAATATACATGAAATATGGTTGCTAATTTTTTTAAATTTGTTCCGAAAATGTTTCTTCATTTACTATAAACATTATGTCATCAGTAATTCTTTCATAATCATAATCAAAATCATTTATTCAGTTTAGGCTGTTACAAGCACATATGAATGTCTAGAAGCTACGCCATCGGTTCGTAAATCTACGGCGGGAGACCTTGTACTGAGAAGAACCGGCAAGAAACTCAGCAAGGGCTGTTTTTTTCTCCCTGTTTTATTATTTACAGAGTCGTCAAATTGAAAAATGACTTCAGAGGTGATTCATGAAGTCACTTTTCATTACATAATTATTAAATATACATTAATTGTTTACCTGCATTTTGATTGCTGTGTCATACAGTATAAATAAATTTTGTTTTCTTGTTCAGAGGAGTGCCCCCAAAACGAAGAATACCTCCTGTGCGGTTCCGCGTGCCCCTTTAACTGCACCGATCCCGTGGGACCTGTCCTCTGCTCCGATGACTGCGTGGAGGGATGCTTCTGCAAGTCCGGATACTTGAGGAACGAGAACGGAACCTGTGTCACGTCTGACACGTGCGTTGGTGGTGAGTTCATTGTGTGAATCCGTAGAATTCATCAGGTACAATACCTTTGTGGTGCAAGGTGAAGATAGGTTGAAAAATCTACGTAGACATTTCCTCTTAAAACAAAATAGTAGGACAAGCTCCCTATAAGAATAAAGCTAACTATAATAAGACAATTATTTATTTTTAAACTGAATTCCTACAGTGAATAAGTAAAGGAACTGCCTAATTTTTTTTTTCAAAATTTCAAAATTCTGCTCTACATTTACATTTAAAATCAGAACAGCTCTTTCATTGAAAATATGAAGAAACCTAACCTAACTAATATTGGTTTGGCAGAACTATTTCAAGTTATATTTTGTACTGCTTATCACTATAGTTTAAGCACATTTTTTATCCCCATTTATTGCAGACAAAATCCCTGTATGTGGTGTGAACGAAGAGTTCCTCTCTTGTGGTTCGGCGTGCCCGGGAACCTGCTCGGTGCCAGAGCCCGTCGTCTGCGGCCTGGCCTGCAGCATGGGCTGCTTCTGCAAGTCAGGATTCGTCCGAGACACGAAGAATAACGTCTGCGTCACCCTGGACAACTGCCCAGCTGGTCGGTATACTGTTAAGCATTATCTTCTTATAGTGCCGTTGTTGATGAGACCTTAAAGTTGTTGGTGAATAATCGGAGAGGTATTAGAGGTTGTTAGAGCTTAAGATGCATTTATGATCTTTCTCTTTTGATTATTCGGCTATGTTTAGGTACAAAAAGTTGAATTTTTAGTTTCTTTTAGTTTCTTGGCATCATCACACCCAAATAGGGTGTAGATACGAGTATATCATAGTGGAATAATTACTAAAACGACTCCAACCCACATGATGTACAGCATTGCCTTATGATTTAAGTACGTGTTTTTGCTAATTCTCTTGTGCCATTATATCTTCAAAGATCTCTTTATTTTGCCATTCATCGCCATTCTCACTGATTCCTGACGTCATTTGGTAAGTTATTTATAAAATAAAAAACATTAGATCTGATGCGGCATTTGTTTTACAGAACAATGTCTGAACCAGAATGAGGTTTATGATATCTGCAACGCTGCCTGCGAGCCATCGTGCTCGGACCCAGAGCCAATATGCACGAAGGTCTGCACAGGCGGGTGCATCTGTGCAACGGGCTTCCTCAGGGACGACAACGGGACCTGTGTTACAATCAACAAGTGTCCCGGTGGTAATTCTACCGATCCTTCGCTCCTGACCAGCTATATGAACATGATCAACAAGATCTTGCATTTGTCGGGAATGCCTTCAGCTGCTTAAAGTTTTAGGTGTCATGAATGTTGGGATCAGGATTTTAATTTAGCGTTTGTGGGTCATACAAAAACTTTTTTTAAATTGCTACTTCTTGGATAAATATTATATTATTATCTCTATATATATAACTCAAAGGTGACTGACTGACATAGTGATCTATCAACGCACAGCCCAAACCACTGGACGGATCGGGCTGAGACTTTGCATGCAGGTATAAGAAGAATCATAGATGAATGTCATTGTGTATAATACAAGCCTGAGAACAAAAACTGTAATCTACACTTCAGCTCTACACCGAAGCGAAGCGAGGACGGGCCGCTAGTTTAATATAAAATTATCACATTTGTTGCGGTTGTTAATATACCAAATTCCTGAGTAATTCAGACTATATTTTTTTGTTATGTATACAGTCGAAGCCATAATGGTGATTACAGACTGACAATGATTGCAATTCTAACAAGTTGGAATAAGAGCATGATACAAGTGTGACAGTAAAACAAAATATGTATACTTACCTATTTATGAATTGAGAATCTTCTTCGGCGCTTACTCTTGACAGAGTGGTCATAGTCGTCACGTCAGGGTTGGTGGCGCTTCACAATACGCCGTCATTCCTCCCGCACTGCGGCCTTTCTCGTGTACTCGTGAAGTGGACCGTTCAGTGCCTCTTTTATCTGATCGGTCCAGCGAATTGGTGATCTGCCGCGCGCCCTTACGCCCTCTACTTTGCCCTGCACCACCAGTCGTTCCACTGACGCATCTTCTCGGCGTGAGATGTGGCCAAAGAAGGTTAGAATACGACCTTGTACGGTGGAAGAAAGATGTTGTTTGATGGACAGTACCTGGACGATGGATGCATTGGTTCGGAATTGTGTCCACTGTATGCCAAGTATTTTTCTCCAGCACCACATTTCTAGAGCGTCTATCTTCTTTTTCTCACTCTGTCGCAAGGTCCACATCTCAGAATCATAGAGGCATATGGGAAACACTAATGCTCTGACGAGTCGTGTTTTCGTGGCTTTTGTGATGTTCCTGTTTCTCCATATTTTTTAAGTTTATCAATAGCTGACCTCGTGATAGCCATGCGCCGCTTGACTTCATCTGCACATCCACCGTTGCCCGAAATCAGTGCTCCAAGGTAGACGTATGACTGAACGACATCGCAGTTCGCGATGTTTTAGTGTCTTCTGGTACATTGTTATTAGCACGATCGATAATCATAATCTTGGTTTTACTGCGATTTATTTTCAGGCCAAAATCACGACAAACTTGCTTCATTTTGCTTAGCAGAGATTCCATGTTGTTGCAAACAGTGTGGTGCCATCCGCATATCTCATTATTGATTTTTATTAGATTCGTGAAATTAAGCCAATTGAGAATTGGTATCATGAAATAGTATACTCAGGGGGACTTTGATTTATGTCTGCATGCAATACTTTTAGTTCTTATATAAATATATCTTTAAAGAAAGCATAGTGAGTTCCACGTTTATGTGGTCAAAATTTGAGTGATTTTTAGTAACTCCATAATTGTGTTTATTTTTTGATTTATGTCTGCTTGTAATACTTTTAGTTCTTATACAAATATAGTTTTAAAGAAAGCATAGCGAGTTCAAAGTTTATGTGGTCAAAATTTGGCTGATTTTAAGTAATTCCATAATTGTGTTTATTTATGTCTTAAAAAATAAGTGTACTTTATATGTATTATATGATTTATGTACATGATTATAAAGATTATGATTGATGATGATGGGGTTATTTATTATTATTATAAGGAAAAGGTTCTGGTAGAACAAATCTTAAGTATTGTTTAAATCGGTAATATCTGCTGTTGAGCATTACCCCACTTATTAATAAACAAGGAATAAGCATAGACTAGCTACGCCGTGTTTTGTTTATTTCTCTCAAATGCCATTTGCCATTCAATGAACAGAGACAAAACATAGAGTAACTAATCCAACCTTATTCTTCGTTTATTATTAAGAGGGTTAAGTAGCGTATGTAGAGCTAAGAAGTAGTAAGTATCTTGTGTTCATTTGATTTAAAACAAATTATTTAAGATATAGTATTATATTTTTAAGTTTTAAGTTATTTAAATACGTACCTAAGTAAATAAAATTACCATTATTTAAAAATATCGTTTTTTTTTAAATTAACTCTGCCGTGATGTTTTACCTACAGTAAAAAAAAAAGTCAAAAACCAAAAAGCGTACCTAATACATATCTCACACTGCCTTGACCTATAACTTGACATACAACATCTCTTATCTATTAGACAAGTCCGTCCGTCCGTCCGTCTGTCTGTGGTGCTGTTTCAGCGGCCAAACCGTAAGAGATAGATAAAGAGAATATTTAAGTTATAAGTTCAGAATAGTCTGATAAGACTACAAACCGGATTTGAGTAACGTAGCACTTCCGGTTTTCGAGAAATCACGAATTTCAAACGAAACCACACAAAATCTCCGAAGTTCTCAATTAATTAAATACATTTTTTTTAAGTCAGGTTTTGGTGGTTGCTTGTTTGCACTGGTTTGCTAGTCATAGCTTATAGCTATAATGACGTCACTTGTTTATGTTTCCTTTAAGGTTATGAAAAACAGAAGCAACATTAGTTCTCGATACTACCAATTTTGGTTTAATTAAGGTCGATTTAAAGTAATAATACCTACCTGGCACACTCCATGTTTATCTTTTGCTCCTTACGTAGCACGAATTTTTATTCTTATCAATACAACGACAGTGGCCACAAAATTAATTAAAACCTATTTAGATAAATCTAAATTTAATCTTAAATTATCCATAATACATACTGTAGATACATACTTATAAAAATAATGTTAATTATACAATTATCAAAAACGAATATAAAATTAAGATAGACATAAAAGCGTAGGTCTCAATATCAATCTTCGGACTTCTGTTGATTGGCAGGGTTATTACATTTGCAATCTGAAAATAATAACAAAATTGTGAGTATCTATTCAAGTTAGAACAAGTCAGAATACCATATTACTTCATGCAGAAATTGCAGAATACAAGCTGAAAACTGTTGTGTAGCGCCATCTATTAGTGACTTAACGAAATACAATGTTTAGTTTTCTGTGGCGCCATCTATTAATAGTCTAACGATACACGACAGCGGAGTAAAAGCATCACGCGCTGTAATGCTTTTCTACTTGCGTCTCATATTTTCTGTGATTTGAAAAAACACTCATAGAGGGCGCATTAGAAGTTCTTTATACAATATTTTTTTCATAGTAATAAGTATTATTATTTTCATTTCTATTTTAAGAAATATTGTGCAATGCTTTATTTTTCCCAGTCGGTAAAAATAGAAAATTTATTGTCACTAAGTAAATACTATTTTTTTAATATACAAAGCACTGAATATTACCCACCCCACTTGATATTGTATGTAAATGCAGTTAAGCCTTTAGTCACAGCGTCTTCGTTAGCACCCACCAATCCTCACTGGTCGGCTGAAGCGGGTCCGTCCTCAGCACTTGATTTGCTGTCTATAGGGAAACTTAATAAATAATAAAATAAGTATTTCTAACACTGACACCAATGAGCCTAGCCCCAAAGTAAGCACTGTAAAGCTTGTGTTATGGTATACTAGGGTAACGGACAGAATACATATGCAGTACATATGTAAGTATATTTATATTTATATAGAAATACATATTAGACATCTATGACTGGAGTACAAATGCTCGTATTCATCACAAAAAACATCTGCCCCACCGGAATTCGAAACGGGACCTTTGAGTCAGCGTCACCATGAAACCCAGCGTACAAACCCCTCGGCCACGGATGTCGTCGATAAGATAAAAGTTGATATGACCTGTGACGTAACTGAAATGAAATGAAATGAAAAGTCATTTATTCAGTCTAGGCTGTTACAAGCACTTGTGAAAGTCAGGAAGCTAACCTAGTTTCCTAACTACGAAGTCACCTTTTTATACTCCTCCTCTTTCATGCCGTAAGCCAAGTATTGGAAGGACAGGAAGTCACTGTTGTTGGAGACCAGCTGGAACACCATGCTCTTGGAGCCTGTGGACCCTCGCACCAGCCTGAAGTCCACCTCGCCTTCAGCTGCTACCGTAGCCCATACGTCCATGTAGGATAGTACGAAGCCATTCTAGAAATAGAAAGAAGACAATAAACATTGCTGTGGTTAATGCGTTTGGTATTCGATCGTGGAAGTTAAGCTACTTTTGCGATGGTCGGTCATGGGATGGGTCACCAAAATTTTATTTTCTCTACCTCCTCTGTACTTCAGAAGGCACGTTAAGCCGTCGGTACTGGCTGCATCTGCAGTTATTAGGACCCATGAATTCGCACTGGGCTCTCGTGGTGGGTCATGGGCCCAGACTCCCAGTGCCCCAGCAGTGGGGACATTGTTATTATTACTTACCCTCGCTGACGTCGAAATGCTCACAAAGAAGGGGTCCAAATTGTTCCTGTGTCGGTAACGGTCCGAACCTCCACTCATCGGCAGTGATTCTGTAACGAAAACGAATCCGGTCAAATGCAAAGCGAACTAGCATAGAGATAGCGAGATTTCCGTACCTATCTTAAGAGCAATTCACATTCACATTTTTTGCAAAAAATTGTAATTTTTGAGCGCCTCGTTTACCCTTTTTCAAAAGATTTTGACTATTTTCAATAGAAGTAAACATTAGACACATTCTTCCTATTGTAAGTTAATGTAGAATATTTGCAAATACTATTTTAATTTTTTTATACTGATCGTTCTACCGCAGCTAGTTTACGGAAAAAACGATAATATGCACAACTTCAAACGCCTAATTCTCTAAATAATGTTCAATCAATTAGCTCAAATTAATTACTACGACTTTAGAAACATGCTTTTGTTGTAACATAATTTATTAGGATTTGGATTTTGCATCTCATTAATTATAAAAAAAAAACATCTAACCTCCGTGAGTTTTCCCAAAAAACAATGCAGGTTTACCCGTATTTTGATATTAAATTAAATTTAAATTACTATCAAAAACTTTCATAAAACTAATCTACCATCATTGAACTACTGAAATATGTATATATTTTTATAATTAGTTCATTAATAATTATTTTAGAAGACTCGAAACACCACCCGTAAAATGCAATATATACTTGTGCAAATCTACCTACGCGCCGATCAGTACGGGAGCGGCGCAATTTTGTAAAAGGGCTCTTAAACGTATATTGCTCATTAGCACTGTGCAGTAGAAGGACAGACAAGCAATATCCCGTAATAGCAAAATCCCAGATTAGTAGAAGACCAGATTTGCATAAAGGCATCAAATACACAACCAAAAAAAACAAGGATGGTTTTTGGTTCTACTACACCAATGGTCAAGAGATGGCGCTGTAGTCTCCTGAATCGCGCTTTGGTTCCGTTGTTCCAGATTAATAAATACTTTTGATAGGCCTTCACAATGCAGTCGTTAGCACCCACTAAATAGAGATTCTATTTCTATTTTGTTGGTAGATTTTCTTAATGTGCGGTAAACACAAAAGTAACGCTAAAGCGACCAACTTCATGCTGTTAAAATTTTGTGTTACAGTGATGCGCGCGCATCTTAAAATTTCACTGTCATCATTTTTTCATAACGCACCTAAAGAAGTATAACTTCAAAAACTAAAATAATCTTGACTATTATTTACAATTCATAAAATTTGAAAATATTAATACTTCGAGGAGCTCGATGGCGCGTGTGGTTAGCGCGTGCGGCTGCGATCGTTGAAGTTAAGCAAATTTCGCAGTGGTCGGTCATTGGATGGGTGACCAAAGATTTACAATCTCGAGCTCCTCCGTGCTTCGGAAGGCACGTTAAGCCGTTAGTCCCGGCTGCATTTGCAGTCGTTAGCACCCACCAATCCGCACTGGGCCCGCGTGGTGGGTCATGGTCATGGCCCAATCTTCCTTTTCCATCCATAAGGAAGGCCTGTGCCCCAGCAGTGGGAACGTTAATAGGCTGGTGATGATGATGATTAAATCTTTAAGACCAATTAATTCATCTTTGTAACTTTGGCCAAACATATCAAACATTCTATTGCAGATTTTTTTTCATTGAATAAACTCGTGATAACTTCATAATATTTTTATCCTTATTTATATATATAAAACTCAAAGATGACTGACTGACTGACATAGTGATCTATCAACGCACAGCCCAAATCACTGGACGGATCGGGCTGAAATTTGGCATGCAGGTAGATCTTATGACGTAAGCATCCGCTAAGAAAGGATTTTGATCAATTCTACCCCCAAGGGGATAAAATACCGAAGCGAAGCGAGGGCGGGCCACTAGTGTGTAATAAGATGAGAACGTTTTTGGGATTTGCTATAGGCGGTTAACTTGAGAACTTTAAAATATGCTTCTTTTTAACAGCTGATGGCAATCACTCTACTATAGGGTTTAACCTGAAGGGAAGCCCTGTTAAGCCCTGGGGACTCAACTTACAATAACTTTAAATGATAATGCTCGAGATGTTTCACTTTTTAGGGATCCGTACCTCAAAAGGAAAAAAACCGGAAACCTTATAGGATCACTGGCATGTTAGGATAGGTGTATATGTAATAAATGGTTTAATTAAATCCAAACTAAATTAGATAAAAATATAGGCATTATTTTTGTAGAAAATTTGAAATTGATTTATGATTGAAAATAAGTGCATTTTCGCTTTTAAACTGTTAATCAGTTTGGCGAAATTATAAAGTGTAGTTAATAGCTTAAAATTATAGTTGAAAAATAATTAAAAAAAAAACTCTGTTGTCCGTCTGTCCGTCCGTCTGTCAAGACGG